GTTTGGGGTTCAGGGTATAGGGTTTTGGCGTCTAGGGTTTTAGGGTTTTGGGAGTTTAAGGCTCCTCGTGTAGCTTAAAGGTTTACGGTTTAGGGTTTAGCGACTCCTTTTCGGGGCTTGGGTTTAGAGCTTCGGGTTTTGGGTTTTTGGTTTTGGGTCTTGAAGATTTCGCTTTGGTGGTGTTGCCTTTCTTTGTTTAGGCCCTGCTTGTTTATCGCAGGCTTTTGGGATTGCGTTTAGGTCTCTTGCTTTGGAGTAAAGAGTGTGTAGGTCAGGTGGGCCCAGGTGTTTGAAGAGGTCGGAGGGCTTGTTTTCTTTTACCGACTTCTTTAGGGCCCTCTTTCTTGTGTTTTGCAGTTGTCTGAGATGTTCGAAGTTTTCGAGCTTATGGTTGAGCGTGTAGGCTTTAACAGCATGTGCTAGGGATATATAGGGTGTGAACTCCGATGTGTGGGTGTGTCCGTGCTTGTAAAGTACGGGGGCTTACACTTCTGAAGCCTAGAGAAGGTATCGGGCGTATGGGAGCTGCGGGCTGATACAGCCCCTTGTTAAGTGTCAGGGTTTAGGGTTTAGGGGTTAAAGGGTTTAGGGTTTAGGGCTTAGGGTTTAGGGTTCCTTCTTAAACCCCACAAAGCCCTTCGAAAGCCCTTTGAAAACTCCCTTTTGAAGCCCTTATAAAAACCCTCTATAACACCTATCTCAAGTCCCTCTAAAGCTTCAGAAGGATTACGAAAGCCTCATTCAAAACCTAAAACCTTTATCATGCCCTTCAAAACCAGATGAAACCCTCAGCAAACACTGTACAACCTTAGAGCGCCTTATGAAACCCATTTTTGAACCCGGATAGAACCATTTTAAACCCTGCCCTAAAAGCCCGCTAAGTAAGATTGAAGTAACCAGGTTGACATAAGTACAGACTTGTATTTCATGATGGTTCCTTTAAGGAGCAAGTCCCCAAAAAGCATTCTCAAGTATGGTACTCCAAACCCAGGCCTACCAAACCTTCTGAAGCCTGATGAAGCCCATTCTAAACCCTTACACAACCTTCTAACCCCTTTTTGCCCCTACAGAGCCGTCCTAAACGTCCTAAACCCCCCGGAACCCTAAACCGTAAATCCTAAACCCTACATCCTAAATCCTAAACCCTAAATCCTAAACCCTGTTTTTAGAACCAATGAAGTTCCCGGCCTTGTGAGCCGTTGGTAAAGGCCTCGCTACGACCCGCCAGGCGGAGCTCCCGAGCGCAATCTTCGGCCTTACTGCGCATCTCCTGGCATTCGGAGGGGGGCGGGGGGGCTCTAGGGGTCCTTTAGGGTTTTTTTTTAAGGTTTAGGATTTAGGGTTTAGGATTTGGGGTTTAGGGTTTAGGGGCTCGAGGGGTAGAGCCTACCATCATAACATGGACCGGCGATGGGGGAACACTTTTTCAAATGATTCCGAAACGTCTACTGAATGGAAAACCCTAAACCCCAAACTGCAGGTGATGCCCAGTGCTGGTGATCTTTAGCTTCTCCTCTGTGGGGGGCAAGCTCTCGGCTCTGCATCCCTGAAAGATTACATATACCCAAGGTTTAGGGCTTAGTGTTTAGGGTTTAGAAGTTTTTATAGGGTTTCTGATTAGGGACCCAAAATAAACCTCAAACCCCGAAGCGACCTGCGACCTCCGAACTGGCCCCGCCGGCGCCCGGCCTGCTCACGCATGAGCTCCCGCTGCCTCTCTCGCAGCTGCTCACCGAGATGGGAGACCTCGGGGCTTAGGGTTTAGGGTTTAGGGTTTAGGGTTTAGGGTTTAGGGTTTAGCATTTGAAGGGCTTTAGGGGAGTCAAGCTTGAGGGTGTAGGGTTCTGGGGTTTAGGGGTTTGGGATTTGGGGATTCAGGGATTTCATTTTTTGGTTCTGGGGTTTAGGGGTTTGGGGCTTGGGGCTTTAGGGATTTAAGCTCTAAGCTTTAGGGTTCTGGGCTTTGGGGCTTTGGGGTTTTTCCAAGGCTCCTTGTGCTTTTTGCAGGGCTCTGTAGAGGTCTTGGCTTGGAGGCTGCAGGGTTCTCTGTTTGGAATAGGGTTCTTGGGGTATATATTTATACTATATTTTTACAATAAGGACCCCCCAAAAAAGAGTATAGGTCATTATCTAAGCCCCTATATTGGGGCCCTAGGCTTGTCAGTGTTAGCCCCTTGTCTTGCGAAACTCTTTGTACCCACCTTGGTGCACCAAGCAAGTCTCCAAGAGCAACTCGGAATCGAAAACCCTGACACAACTCCCCATGACGCCCCTACAAAAGCTTGTGCAACCTTGATAAAGCGCTGATGAGCGGCCAAGCTCTGCCAAGGGATATTATAGGACTGCTGTTCAAGGTTCGGGACTTTAGTTTCGGTCGAGAACGTCGGGGTAGGGCTTGGGTGGATGATTCGACGTGTTTTGGGTCGATATATGTGTAGCTCATTCGCAAAAAGAAGCTGATGCTTTCGAATTACACAGTGTGACTTGCATCACGTCTTTAGCAAACAAACCCTTAACCCCAAAACCCTAAACTCCTAAACCCGATCTTCAGGGACAGAACCATTCAAGCTCCCAGGCCCTTAGCTCGAAACCGAAAAGCGCACCAAAATGCTCGCTACTCTCAGGTTTCTAAGTCCTTCAGTAGCACGATATTTATAAGGGTGGCCTTTTTCCTACTATTCAGTTTTGATAAAGAGACCCCGAAAACAAAAGGGCAAAAGGGTACTACTGGGAGCCCTAGGTTTTAAAGAAATGGTGGACATGATAGTCTTGGAGAAGGGGCATGTCACAAAAAACAAACCGGACACTCTCTTTTGTGCAGCCCTACTAAGTGCATAATAACTGCCAACTGCCACTAATTATTATTCCTAATCATTATTCCGGGAGCGATCAAAACCTTGTTTGCGACATCACATTGTACGGAGACCCCGCTTATCTCCTGAGATGGTGGCTTGCTGCTTGAGTTCAGATTGCACCTCGGACAGTGGTCGCGGGCTGATTCATCACCCGAAGGGTGCAAGTACCTAAAGAATCATATACTCCCCCCCCCCCCCCCCCCNNTAGGGGCCTTAAGAATTCGAACAGGGTTTTGGGGCCCATTATACTATAATTTTAAAAAGGGGCCCCCCAAAATACTGTAGGTAATTATTAAGGCCCCTCCTTTACACAAATACTATCCTAAACCCACCTTTCTACTTGGTGGATCTTTCGGAACCCTAGGGAACCCGAAAGCCCTCAAGTTTGAACCTGACGTGTCGGGGCTCACAGGGCTAATTTCGGGTTCTCCAGAGTTAGAGTACTAATGGGGTTTAGGAGTTTAGGGTTTAGGGTTAAGCATTGAGGGTTTAAGAATGAATAGGGTTTGGGTGATGTTAGACTATACGTGTAATCGGGGCTACAAGGGACACTCTTGCTCGTTGTTCCGACCCCTGCGTTGAACATGTGCAAGGTTTCAGTTTTGAGGAAGATTTTGCAAACCCTGCTAACTCTAAGGCGCCATGTAGCTATATAGTATGCACTTCAGCCTTAAAGTACACATATAGCATCCCCTTGATGGCCTAAGTATATACAGTACACCAAGGCCTCGCCCGTGCACGCATGACCCTCGCCCCTGACCAGGGGAATCTCCACAGAAACCCACCGCGAATCCTAAGCCCCAAACCCCAACACGCGAAGTGCGCTAGGCCCTAAACCCCACCCCAAACCCTACCAGGCCACCCGAAGTGGATCCGAAAGACCTCCCAAAGTGGAGCCCTAAACCCTATAGATCCTAAACCCAACATCCTGAAGGCCCTCCAAACCTCCAAAGTGGGATCCCCTGTGGCGGCGGCTTTCTGCGAATCCGTGAGCTCCCGCTTCGTCTGATCCAGCCTTCAGTCGTTGGAAGTTCCGGCTGCTAAATACTGCGATTCTTGCTTCTTCTTGTTATTGCAGTCATGATCACTGTTACTCTGATTGTCCTTCTTGTTATTATGATTACTGTTAATCTGATTACTGTGAGTATTACTATTGTGATACCTGCTTTTATCACTCCCAGGCGGGAGGTGGTAGCTTTACGGCATGCGACGAGGTTCGGCTTTGGTTCTGTCTCGCCATTCTCTAGGAAGAGATCGCCTCAGAACGTCAGGAATTGTACGCAGACCCAATATAATCCTTGCCTCCCTAAGCCCTAACCGCTAAACCCTAAACCCCAACCCCTAACCAAACCCCCAAACCCTAAATCCTAAACCCTATAAACCCTACCGGAACCCAAGACCGCTAAGGCTCGAGCTGCTGTTGCAGCTGCCGCGCCTCGGGGAGACGACTGGTGTGCAAGGGCTTCGGGGTGTCTCTGAATGGATAAGTCAACAGGATGTGGCTGCAGGGCTCTCTGTGTGGATTTGAGGGTGTACAGATTTAGGACCTAGGATTTAGGGCCTAATGTAGGGGCCTTAATGATTAGAATAGGGTTTTGGGGTACATGTTGATACTATAATCATAGTAAGGAGCCCCCCCAAAAAAACAGTATTGGTAATTATTATAGGCCCCTACATGAACAGGATGGGGGAGCCTACGGTTTAGGGGAGACCCACAGCCCCGAACCCTAGCAAAATAGTCGGCTATGGCCCCCTCAGTTATGGGTCTAACCGGGTGTAACCCTCAACACAGTAGGTTTTAGGATCCACAAGTACAGTACGGATTCGGGTTAATTACGCGATTTGAACAATACGTGATGAGGGTTGACGGCTTTAGGATGTCTGGGCTTACTGCTTTTTGTTTCCAAGCGCAGAACAGATGGAAATTCTTACCAGGATGAGCCGACATGTTGGGGCCTCGGCAATCCAAAGTAGACATGAAACCCCCTCAAAGCTGAAGCCAGAGGCCGATCTACGTGGGTTCAGGGTTTAGGGTTCCCAAAGAGATTTTGAATCCTTTC